GGCCCCTGCGGCGCTTGGCCGCGCGGGTGACGACGGCGCCGGGGTCGCTCGGCGGCAGCCAGGACACCAGGTCGCTCTCCGCGTTCCAGTAATAGGGCAGCCCGCTGGGGGCGGGGTCAGCGGCAGCCACGCCCCCTGTGCCAGGGGGCGGGGCTGCAGGGGGCTATGGGGGGGTGCCCCCTGGGGCCTCTAGGGGTCCCTGTGGGTCTCTTTGGCTCTTTATGTGCCCCTTTGCGCCCTACAGATCCCTATGGGTCCCCCTGTGTCCCTGTGGGTTCCTGTGTGTCCCAGTGGATCCTATGGGTGCCGCTCTCACCAGGTGGGGTTCCTATAGGTCCCTATGGGTCCCAATGGTCTCTATGGGTCCCCATAGGTCCTGCTCTCACCAAGTGGGGTCCAGCACCTTGTACCAGGTGGGGTTTGTATAGGTCTCTATGGGTCCCTATGTGTCTCTATGGTCCCTATGGGTCCCCATAGGACCTACTCTAACCAAGTAGGGTCCCGCACCTTATACCAGAGGGGTTTGCATAGGTCTCTGTGTGTCCCTATGAGTTCCCCTATGTCCCCATGGGTCCCTATAGGTCCTTATGGATGCTGCTCTCACCAGGTGGGGTCCAGTACCTTGTAGGGGGCGGGTCCCTATAGGTCTCTGTGTCCCTATAGGTCCCGCTCTCACCCGGTGGGGTGCAGCACCTTGTACCAGGGTGGGTCTCTATGGGTCCCCCTGTGTCCCCATGAGTCCTATGGGTGCCGCCCTCACCAGGTGGGGTCCAGCTTGATCTATRGGGGGGGTCCCTATAGRTCTCTATGTGTCCCTTTGGGTCTCTCTGGGTCCCTGTGGGTCCCCATGGTCCCTATAGGTCCCSCTCTCACCAGGTGGGGTCCAGCACCTTGTACCAGGGGGGCGGCAGCCCCTCCAGCCGCGAGGCCTCGTAGTCCACGTGGGCCTCGTCGTAGTCCTCGGCGATGACCTCCTCCTGGGGGGCTGGGCGGGGCCTCGCATGTGGCCACGCCCACCTGGCCACACCCCCGAGCACACCGCAGGACACGCCCCCACCCGGGGAGCCCAGTGCAGAGAGCTGCCCCCACCCAGGGCTCTGCCCCCAGCCCTGGCCACGCCCCTCCCCGGTTGGGCCACGCCCCCAGTCACATCACCTCTCCAGGCCACGCCCTCGTTCACGCCCCCATCCACCCACCACTATGGCCCAGAGCGTCCCCGGCGCCCCCGCCAGGCCCCGCCCACACAGCAAACCACACCCCTTCCTCCACCCCGCCCACAGCACAGGCGCCACCCAGCACCCCTAGCTCCGCCCACCGGTTCAACCTCCCCCGCGATCCGCCAACGCGCAACCCCCCGCTAGGCCCCGCCCCCACAAGCCCCTCCTCTCCGCAAGCCCCGCCCCCTCACCGGCCTCCACGTGCTTGAGTAGCCCGCGCTTGGCCAGCCGGGACTGCAGCGCCACGGGCAGCGGCATGATGTCACCTGGGGGCGTGGCGGGGTCAGCGCAAGCCACGCCCACCCGCTCCGGTAACCCCGGTAACCGCCCCCCCTCCCCTGCGGCGCCGACCCGGGGGCGCGCTCCGCTCCGCTCCGCTCCGTTGCTCCCGGCCGCCGCGCTCAGGCGATG